CCATCAAGTTACCCCCAAGTTATGGCAACTCCATGAACGATCTCCAGAATGTCCTGTTCTCAACAGCCCTGCTCAGCTCTTGCAAACTGAAGCTTGCCGCTTCTTTTAGGGAATCAATTCATCTCATATTGGGACTTCTTCTTTTCCTGCTACCTTCCACCTTTCCCAGCATTATTGTCTTCTCCAGATAATCCTGCCTCCTCGTGATATCCCCAAAGTAGAACAGCCTCAGTTTCATCATTTTTGCCTCCCGAGATAGTTCAGGCTTGATTTGAACCTTGACTTCTTCTTAGGCATCCTTCAGTCTCGAGGATAATCCTGCCTCCTCGTGATATCCCCAAAGTAGAACAGCCTCAGTTTCATCATTTTTTGCCTCCCAAGATAGTTCAGGCTTGATTTGAACCACAACTTACTTGTTCACCTTTCTAACAGTCCAGGGCATATTTAAAAAAGGCTCCCCTCCAGCACCACATTTTGAATGAATCCATGTTTCTCCCTGTCAGCTTTCTTTACCGTCTAGCTTTCACACCCATACATACAACTTGTTTCCCCTTTGATTGGCCGATTTCCCAGTTGTACAGAGCAACAATGTATGCATGTGCTGCTGTCTGACTCCAATTCCATGCTTACACATAGGGTTGCCAAATTTCTTACTGCTGCAATGGGCATTAGAAAAAGGACCCTAAAAGTAGACGAGTCTCTGTAGTAAGAGCATGGTTTGCTAGACATTTTGGAATTGCTTTAGGGGTGATGTTTTGATGCTGGAGAGGGACCTATTACTTGTTCATCTTTCTGGCAGTCTGGGTTATATAAAAAAGGCTTTCCTCCAGCACCACATTTTGAATGAATCAATGTTTCTCCCTGGCAGCTTTCTTTAGAAGTTTTATCTATCACCCATACATGGTGGTTGGAAGTACAGTAGTCTCCAGTGTCTGCTGCCAGTCTGCTTTGTCAGTTGTATTCTAAGACAGCAGTAAACCTTTCTGCTCCAGTTGCTAAACTGAAGACATACCACTTGCATAGTTAAGAAATGCAGCTGATTAGGGCACAGTAAGACACATCTGAAGTGCTATCTCAAGATGCTTGTCTTTCGGTTTCATCCAACTCCTGGTAGAAGTATCAGCCATTTACCTCCTATTGGCTTGCACATTAATGCCCTTGAAAGGTACACAGAGCTGATTTTAGAAATTTTTAAGCACTTTTCTTCACCCTGATGTACAAACAATGAGGTGGAGCAATTCTCCTCGTATATTCTTTTTTTCTAATTTTTACCGTCCTTCTCTTGGAGTGTCCTTCTGAGACGGCGCACAGCTTTTTTGTTTATTTAGGGCTTCAGCTCTGAAAATCAAAGTGGTGTAGGCTTTTAGAAAAGTAGGAAGGGGTTCTTATTGAATCAGTTAAAAAGAGAAGACACACAAATACATGCACCAGAGTACCATAGTTCCAACTCTCTATGCAGGCTCTCTTGACTTCATGGCAACTAAGATGTTCAAACTCAGCAGATCTAGAGGTTGGGGGTTTGATTCTCCACCGAGCCTTCTTGATAGGGTCCCTTCCAACCCTGCAGGTCTAAGATAGTGACAACGAAGTTCTTTTTAAATCCAGACAAAGGTTAAGAAAATATATATTGCAGTACTTCCATGGAAAAAAAATGATGGACTGAGTCTGTTGGATGGATGGAGGGGCACATCACAAGTGAAGTCACAGGAAATGTCCACCATGCTAGGAAAAAGTTGAAGGCAGCAGGAAAAGAGGACAAGCAAAGAGGAGGTGGATTGACTCCATAAAGGAAGCCATGCCCTTGAGTTTGCAAGAACTGAGCAGGGTTGTTAAGGATAAGACTTTGGGTCATCCATTCCTAAGGTTGCAGTACGCCACAGGTGAATTGATGGCAGAGGAGATGCATTGACTCCATAAAGGAAGTCATGCCCTTGAGTTTGCAAGAGCTGAGCAGGGTTGTTAAGGATAAGACTTTGGGTCATCCATTCCTAAGGTTGCAGTACGCCACAGGTGAATTGATGGCACATAATAACAAGACCTAAAGGAGGAGGATGGGGCAAAACTCATCATTGATGCCACCTCCACCTATCATTTTGTTCACCTTAGGACTTTGGGTCATCCATTCCTGAGGTTGCAGTACGCCACAGGTGAATCGATGGCACATAATAACAAGACCTAATGGAGGAGGATGGGGCAAAACTCATCATTGATGCCACCTCCACCTATCATTTCGTTTACCTGTGGCCAAGATGTATCTTAACTTGAAACAGAACTGCTGGATAGCTTAGTGGTTTAGGTTTCTGGCTGCGGTGGCAGAGGTTGGGAGTTTGAGTCTCTCCTAAGCCTCCTTGATGGGGGCTGGACTTGATGATTGGCAGAGGTTGGGAGTTTGAGTCTCTTCTAAGCCTCCTTGATGGGGGGCTGGACTTGATGGTCCTTAGGGTCCCTTCCAGCTCTGCAGGTCTAAGATGACTATTATTATTTATCATCACTTTGCTTAATTCCTATCCTGGTTTCAGGCCTTTTGACTTGGTGTGACGTCCACCCTCGTGCCCCTTGCTTGACCTTCAAGCCTCAGAGCACACGAAGGCAAACACTCTCCTCTTTTCACTGCTGCCACTAGGCGATCTCTAAATCACCATTACTTCAGAATGATTCAGGTTCACACTTCAAGTTCTTTTAAATAAAACTTTGGTTTATTGATTACAGAGATTGATTCATGGATATCTTCAGTAACTAATCACACCTCAGAATTTCCAAACTACACACTCTACTACTCTCGCTAACATTTTTTCTCTACTGCCTGATTCTTACATTTCTCTTACTGACCCAATCTACCCCTTGACTCTCTGACTCCACCTCTTATAGCATCTCTCTCAGCAATATGAATATGCATGAACCATTATTGCATAACAAACATAAACCATAGACCCAATAAATAGAGAACACTACAAATACCAAATACCTAGCTTTCCTGAGCATTTTGGGGGTGGGGATGGTGTAGCTAAAAAAAGCACAATGGTCTCACCGTGTTTCTACAATCACACAGTGAGGGATTTGGAAAGTTGGTATAACTGGGAAGGGTTTTGAACGAAACCCAGTGGTAAATGAAAAAAGAAATACATAAATAAATGGTGCTATTGCTCAGTCCTCCAATTATCTCTCCTACAAATATGTGTGTGTGTGTTTTGTGTTTTGCTGTGTTCTGGTAGTGCTCCGGTGTTCATAAACTACCCGAATGAATGCATGCAATCTGCCCGAGTCTATTTTCTTTGATCTCAAACATCCCCCATTAACTCTAGTTACACTTTGATATTTAAATTAGCCACGTCCTGACGGGAGAATGCACTTGTTTTCCCAGGGAAACTGCAATCACAGAGATGGATTTACTCCGTCAAACGTTGTAGCTATCACTCCAATCCAGCTGTATAATTCCTCCCCCATCAACTCCACACACACACAAAGATTGGCAAAAACATTACACTGCATCCCACATCTGAAGATACATTGTTCACTCAACAAAGTTCTCTGTAGCCAAAGAGAACCTGACAATCGGCTAAAAAAATACAGTCTGTGCATGGAGATATAATTCTGAGGAAAAGTGCGGCTTTAGACCTGGCTTGCTTGTGATTACCATTATTCTGTGGATGTGTCCAGCTTGTTGGGAAGGGAAAGTTATAGGCTGGGGCTTTGTAGGCTTTGAAAAATAGCAAATTAAGGGATGGGTGGTTGGCATGGTATACAGTTATGCCTGACCCATCAAAAGTGAATGACAAGACTCTCCAGACACACACACACACACACACACACCTTACTATCACATACAGGCCATGTAAATAAGGACATTCTCCCCTTTGCCAGTGGAGATAACAATCCATTTGCTGGTGTTCTCAATAAATTTCTTAGATGAGCAAGAATAGTTAGTTATCTTGCATGCAGAGGCCCAGTTTTGCACAAAACAGCTCTGTGAATTGCACAAATCATGCCTGTTGCCCTAAACTAGGATTATTGCTTCTTGGTTTAAGAATTTAAAGCCCTGGGTGGGTTGTTGTAAAGGAGCCTGGAAGCATTTTTGCAGAAACCATAATGGGGAGGAAAATGACCCTCTTGCTCAGAGGTTTGAAACACAACTTTTTTGAACTATTATTTGTGGAATCCCACAGCTAGCCCACAGCTAGCCAGGCTGGCTATACAAGTCCATTATTAGCAGTCCAAAACCAGTAAGTAGCCAATGTCTCCTAATGTGACTTAAAGCTACTTCCTGGGGAATGTAAACAGGATAGTGCTATGAAACCTCTTTGCAGGCTTTCCATCAGCATTCAGTAGATGGTCGTTTGGGCAAAATGCTTTTCGTCTGATCCTGCACCACTGTTCTTGATGTTCTGGCAATAAGATGGGCTAGTCTTGAAAAGTCTTTGAGACCTTTCTCTGAAGGTCTCTTGAGAGGCTCCACTGTACCACCTTCTTCGGTTCTCCCTTTGATGGTTTTCTCTTTTCAGCTCTGATGGACATTCTAGCTCTTTTGATTCCATCAAGAAACCACCGGAAGCTTCCTCCATTTGTGGAGCTCCCTAGTCAACAATCAATCCCGTCGTGACTTTTTTCCACGTTTTGCACAATTCTTCCCTCCCCCTCCAGGGTTTTGAATTTGTGGTAAAATTCCTTTATTGCTTTGCAGTAGAAGTACAGAGGAGAATAAATACAAGTTCCCCGGATAGTCCACCCCTTCCTCATGAACTGGCTCTTAAAGCTCACTTTAAGAAGAAAAAGAATATGAAAAGTTCTTTACTTGCATTTGCTTTAAAAAGACAGGCTTGTGTTTGTCACTTTCTTGGCTGCAGGCATAGGTCACCAGCCGAACTGATCAACAGCAAGTAAACAACTGCCATCAACCAATGAGAGGGATAAAAAAGTCAGGAAAGAGGCAGAGAAAGACTTCAAGGCAAAAGAACTCAAAGCAAAATGGGCTACTAATTAATATTTTCTTCTCCCCTCCCCAGGTGCTTTCCTCATCCCTTATATCCTCTTCCTCATTATTGCTGGAATGCCTTTATTCTATATGGAACTCGCTTTGGGCCAGTATAACAGAGAAGGGGCTGCAACCGTATGGAAAATCTGTCCACTTTTTAAAGGTAAATCCTGGGTTTTCTTCTTCAGAAAATTGAAGTGTGGCTGCCAATACTGTACAAATTCCCTATGCTTTGTATGAAAGGCTTTGCTGGACCAGAATTTGTTGCTTTACAGCTGTTTGGCCCATGACGCCTTCACATAACACACAGACATTCATAGGGTTGAATAGTTTCGCCTTAAAGGATGGACAGTGCAGAATTCAAAAGTCCTTCAGGGGGAAAAAGGTTGGCTATCTGGGTGGAGAAAAAGAATCTTTGATATTTCTTGGTTCACATTCTTTTATAACAAAGGTGAGTGACATGTAGCCCTCCAGATGTTGAGTACAACACTCATCAGCCCTAGAGAGAGCGTAGGCAATTGTGGTGGATTGTGAGTGTCCAGTATATGGAGGGTCACAAATTGCACAACTCTGCTTTATTTTGTCTCTCTCTCTGTGTGTGTGTGTGTGTCTGTGTGTGTGCAGAAAAGGTGAGTGACATGTAGCCCTCCAGATGTTGAGTAAAACACTTATCAGCCCTAGAGAGAGCGTAGGCAATTGTGGTGGGTTGTGAGTTTCCAGTATATGGAGGGTCACAAATTGCGCACCTCTGCTTTATTTTGTCTCTCTCTCTCTATGTGTGTGTGTGTGTGTGTATCTCTGTGTGTGCAGATAGATAGATAGATAGATAGATAGATAGATAGATAGATAGATAGATAGATAGAGAGATAGAGAGATAGAGAGCTAGAGAGAGAGAGAGAGAGAGAGAGAGAGAGAG